AGGCTTTATATGGGCAAAGGTGTAGATCACCTATTTAGAGGACGGAGGTAGGTGAAAAGAGCATTTTAGGCCCAGAGTTGGTACAACAGTCTTTTGAGATTATGCAATTGATTAGGGAACACCTCTGTGCTACATAGAGTAGACAGAAAAGTTATGTGGATAAAAGGAGGTGTGACCTTGAGTTGGAAGTTGGTGATCGTGTATTTTTGCAGGTGTCACCCACTCGAGGTGTTCTCAGGTTTGGCATTTAGGGGAAATTGAGTCCGAGGTATATTGGACCATATCCTATCCTAGAAAGGTTTGGTGAAGTAGCTTATAGATTAGAATTGCTTGGGAATTTAGCGGGTGCTCATGACATATTTTTTGTGTCCTTACTTCGGAAATATGTTCTTGACCCAAGCCACATCATCAATCCCGAACCCATTCAACTTTGAGAAGATCTAACTTATGACGAGTACTCGATTTGTAGTTTAGATTTCAAGGAGAGAACAATGTAGAGAAAGACTATTTGTTTTGTTAAGGTTCTTTGGGATAACCATTCAGTTGAGGAAGCTACTTGGGAATTGGGATCCAAAATGAGGTACGAACATCTGTACCTCTTTCAAGATTGAGGTACGAGTTTAAGGAACTTAACTTCTTTTTAGCAGGGGTGGATGTAATATTCCAAAATTTTCTAAAACCTTAAGATTTAAGTTAAGGACTTATGTGGGAGTTGTAAATGCTGGCACATGTCGACATGTATACCTATAGAGTCGGTTCATTCTGTATTCCTATTATTCCTACCAGTGGGATTAGTAAACTGGTTATTACTAATGCTTGCTAGTGGGAGTTTGGTGAACACTGGCCATAGCTAATTGAGGAGACCACTATTGGGTAAAAACCCACAGATTGCCCTTCAACTTTTCGCATGTGTGGACTTTGCCCCTCACCTTACAATATATGATTTTATACTCTTTTGATATTTGAGTTTATGATTTTATACCCTCATGATATTCGAGTTTATAATGTTATACCCTCCTAAAGTTGTAAGGTGAGGGGTAAAGTTCCACACACTTGAATACCACGAGGGTAAAAAATCATATCATAAGGGTATAAAAGCACACATCATAAGGTGAGGGGTAAAGTTCCATACACTTGAAAAGTTGAAAGGCAATTTGTGGGGTTTTGCCACCATTATTTACCTTAATGGTTTATAACTGAGATGTTCCTTTGGTTTATATTTTAAATTGTTTATCTAGCATGCTTTAACTTTAAATGAGGCTACTCACATTTTTACTTACTAAGTTATCTCACATAGCTTTCCTTGTCCACCATTGCAGATAGGGAGGCTAGAGACGGGGGAAACCAAAGGGAGTGACAATCTTGAAGGCTAGCCATTTGTATTGTGGATTTAGATTATCGTGGAGTTAGGCTACCAGTTACATATTTTTTGGACATAGATAATGAAATATACATCATTTTTGTAGACTAGATCCCCTTGAGATAGTCTTGACTTTATTGATGGAGTCGTAAACTTTTTGTACACTCTTGGCCTAGTCAAATATTGGTTATAAAGTTAGATTTTATTTTAAGATTGTGGATCTAAGTTTATGTAAATTGTTAGTTATGAATTTAGCAAGTTTCAAGTCTTGTGCATTTGTGGGATCCTTTTATAAGTGTATGACGTTTGTTTCGTTCCTGGTTTTGGGACGTGACAATAATTTTGTTCTTTTAAGCAATAAAATGCAAGCTTTTTTAGAGCCTTCAATCAACTTTCCATACCATATATTGTATGAATATATATTTTGAACTTGGTTTCACAATGAGAGGCAACCATCTCCAATCCCTTATCCCACCTCATCTGCATGCCATGCAACTCGACCTCTGGACCTTTTACTTCCAATGGAAGGAGATGATCACTAAGCTGCTTAGGTCGTTGGTGATATTGTATGAATATTAGTTGTAGTTAACTTTGATTACAAAAAATAATTCTTATTTTTTGAGATAGTACATGTTGTGCCACTGTTAATAAGACAGATGTCTCCATTATTGATCTGAGCATCATTCAAGTCCATTTAATCTTATATACAGACAAATCAAATAAAAGAGACAGATATTCAATATATATATATTGAAATGATTTATTCTTTTATTAAATATGAGAAGGGCATCACATGTAGCAAAAGGGAAATAGTCATTAAGAGGACACAATAAATCAAACTTTTAAGTATCACCAACATTTTAAAACTTGCCAACACCTTAAAAAAAATTTGCAACGTTAAGGGATGTATCAATATTTATAGGTTAAATACCCTTTTTGGTCCCTCTACTATACAAAAAAGCCCTTTTTTGGTCCTTGTACCGAAAAAATCCCCTTTTTGGTCCTTACTGTTTACAAATCCGGCCCCCTTTTAGTCCCTCCGTTAAATTTTGGCTGATGTGGCAGGTTAATTAAAGGAAAATTTTATTTTTTTCTTTACTTAAATTACGTGGAAAATCCATCCGGCAAAACTCGATCACATGGCCAAATTTTTTTCTTTAATTACCAATTTACCCTCATCTTCTTCCTCCATCCTCTCCTTCCTTCAGCCTTTTTTTTCTTTTTTTTCTTTC